CTTTACACCATGTGAGGATACGATGAGAAGACAGCCATCTGTCAACCAGGACACAGGCTGTATGAGGCACTTTTGCATTACTATAATGAAATACCTGAGACAGGTCACTTATGAAGCAAAGAGAGGTTTATTTATTGCACAGTTCTATAGGTTCAAAGTGCAAGTTCGGGTGCGCCCTGTTGGCCTCTGGTGAGGGTAATGGATGGTAATGGGAGGAACATTTTTCAGAGCAAGTGGTCAGATCTCCAAGAGTGTGCGTGTCTGTGTGTGTGTGTGTGTGTGTGTGTGTGTGTGTGTGTGTGTATTTTTAGTTTTGCATTTCTCTGGGTGATCTTGAGATGAGGATTTGAGTTCACGATTAGATTACTTAGATTATCCGGTACATGATCAAGCAAATCACTGTGCGAAAACTGGACCCTACCACCCCCTACCCCCACGGGTGGTGGTGGTGGGAAACTCTGGGAGACAGAATAGCGTATGCGCCTCAGGCCTACTTCTTCTGGTGGTGGAAAAGCTGTTTTTTTTTTTCCTAATCCTTCAGTTGCCTGCCGTCCTTGATTGAGGGCTGGTCCTCGGGTAAAATGAGTTTCCTGATGGCTCCTGCCCACTGTGTGTACGCATGGAGCAGACTCTCACAGAAGTGTGTGAGACACACAGGTGTTGGCAGTTGGAGGTGTGGCAAGATAGGGGCGTGGGTAGTAGCACCTGCTGCAATGCCCAGCATTGGGAGCTCAGGTGAGAGGCCAGGATTCCCCCGAATACAGAGAATATATAAAGCCATGAGACTAGGGGAAAAAATCACCTATGCAGAGTTTGTGAATAGAGAAGAGAAAGTCCTTGAACTTAACGTCTCTGTGTGACACCAACATTTAGAGGAGAATATTGAGAATTATGGCCTCTGAGGTTGGAGGAAAAGAAGCAGGATGTGAAGAGAGACCGAGAAAGGGCTTTTATTTAGCACGATGCGGGGTGGTGTCCAGTGCGTGGAAAGGCTCTGGAGAGGGAAGGACATTGGATGTCCTGGCTCCTGGTGCTCCTTATAGGAGGGACTTAATAAGTAAGTACTGTCATGATTATTAACTAGATCCTCAGAGATATCATTGTTTTTTTCTTTTGAAAGACCTTTTGGCGTTGTATGAATCAGTATCTCCAAATTGTATCCCTGGGAACTATACAATTCCTTCTCTTGAATTTCCAGTAGGGATTCTATTAGTCTTGGTGGACTTTTCTTGTGGTAGCCAGAGATTTCTGGAAATGGGAAGAGCTGATATCTCAGTAAATACCAATTCTGTGCTTCAGAGTCCTAGCAGCAGTTTAGATCTGGAAAATGTTTACCATTTTTTTTTTTTTGGGTGGTGGTGGTGGGGCACCAGGGATTGAACTCAAAGGTACTTGACCGCTGAGCCACATCCCTAGCCCTATTTTTATATTTTGTTAGTCTGGCTTGGCACAAATCAGGAGCCACTTGTCAAAAGAAACTAACTTTATTTTTAGAACTACAAACGCCAAACAAAACAGCTCCTCAGGGAAA